TCTGGAGTCCAACAGCTTGGGCTGGAATCCTACCTCTGCCCACTTAGTGCCACAGACCTTAGGCAGGCAATGCCATCCCTTATGTTTCCCCCTAGGTGCTGCGAGGAATGCCATGTGACAATGCACAGAAAGTATTCTAGCACCATACCTCTGTATATATAATGTTTACATAATACAAATAACCTTTTCTTGAGTCCCTACTATGTGCCAGGACATTATGTTACCACTCTAAAGCGCTTATGTATATCAACCCTTTCATCTTATGACCCACCATGACACAGAAGGACTATTATTGGCTTCCAGATGGCAGTTTGCATTGCGTGATTGCCAGGAATCACCTTCGCAGCTGGCGCAGTGGCTCATGCCTGTGATCCCAACACTTTGGGAGGCCGAGGGGTGGATTACCTGAGGTCAGGAGTTTTGAGACCCAGCCTAACCAACATGGCGAAACCTCCGTCTCTACTAAAATTACAAAAATTAGCTGGGGTTTAGGGTGGTGTGCCTGGTATCCCAGCTACTCAGGGAGGCTGAGGCAGGAGAACCTGCTCAAACCCGGGAGGTGGAGGGTTGCAGTGAGGCTGAGATCGTTCCCACTGCACTCCAGCCCTGGGCGACAGAGCGAGACTCTTGTCTCAAAAAAAAGTGACAAGCCTTTAGGACGTTTCCATTGTTTTGCCATTAAGTGCTACACTGGGTAATGCTAGCTCCTTTGTCATATAGACACGGACAAGCCATCTGTGGATAAGTTCTAGAAGATCATTACTGGGTCAAGGTAAGTGCTATTTTTTTTTGAGATGGAATCTCGCTCTGTGGCCCCAGGCTGGTGTGCTGGATGGTGCAATCTCGGTCAAGCTCACTGCAAGCTCCGCCTCCCGGGTTTACGCCATTCTCCTGCCTCAGCCTCCTGAGTAGCTGGGACTACAGGCACCCGCCACCACGCCTGGCTAACTTTTTGTATTTTTTAGTAGAGACGGGGTTTCACCGTGTTAGCCAGGACAGTCTTGATCTCCTGACCTCATGATCCGCCTGCCTCGGCCTCCCCAAGTGCTGGGATTACAGGCTTGAGCCAACATGCCCGGCCAAGTGCTTCATTTTTATTGATACTGCCATATGGACAAGCAACCTATTCCCCCAAGGTCGCCCTGGAAAAGTCGGAAATCTGGTGCGTCCCACTCACCTGTGAGCCATACTGACTAAGGCTCTCAAAGCCTACACGCTTGGCCAGTGAGATGCAGGCGATCCGCCGGGGCTGGGTACACGCCACGTGACTGAAGCCAGCAGTCAGCAGGTACTGGGGCACCTGAGTGGACTTGCCACAGCCGGTGTCACCGGCCACTACCACCACCTGGTGCTCCTTCAGTGTCTGCAAGATGCGGTTCCCATACTGGGCAATGGGGAGGGCTGCCCGCTCACGCTGCAGCTTGGCCAGACGCCCAAATGCCTGCTTCTGGCCAAAGTCCAGATAGTGCAACAGGGCCCGGCGGAACTCAGACACTCTCTCCGCAGGCAAGTGCCTGCCCAGCCCCTGAGAGCCCCGTGTGTCAGGGCCAAGAACAGAGAGGTTGATGCGGTAACGTGGGTCATAAGCGCGAGGTAGGTCGGCCAGCGCTGGGATGCTGTGCTTGGGCTGTCCAGGGTCTTTCTCCTCCTTCCTGGAGGTCTTGAGATTCTGGAATCTCTGCAGGCGCTCAAAGAAGGTCCAAAACTTCTGACATTCCTCAGAACCCTGACGGATGTAATCCTCCTCACGGAAGAAGGCATCTTCCAAGAGGCGACGTGTCTCTGGACAATTCCAGTCCCATTTCTCCAAGGCCTCTTCCTTGCTGGGAGCCCAGTGGTGGTCTCGGCGATCCCTGCCCTCTCTTGTTCTAGGAGGAGGCATGTTACTAATCCACAATGGGGGTCTCAGTTCTGATCACCCAAAACAAATATTCTCATCCATTCCCAACCTGCAACAATTTAAGAGGCCAGTGCCTTAAATTGCAACAGAGAACTACTTTATCTTCAAAGAGCTAATTTTTCCTCCTAGTCACGGCACAGGACCACCACAGATGATAAAGTGGTCAGGGGACTGCTTGAGCTGATGACACAAAGGGTACCTCATGATACCTGCAGTGATCTCTGGGATGGACACAAGTTCATTCTGGGTTTTCAGGCCCTGGATTCTTAGGAGAGAGAACAGAAGACATTCATTCACTTTTGGGAACAGTGCCTTCTTTTTTTTTTTTTTTTTTTGAGGCAGGGTCTCACTGTTTCCCAGGCTGGAGTGCAGTGCCGCAATCATGGCTCACCGCAGCCTCGACCTCCTGGACTCAAGCGATCCCCCTGCCTCAGCCTCCCGAATAGCTGGGACTACAGGCACACGCCACCACACCCAGCTAATTTTTTACTGTTTGTAGAGATGAGGTCTCACTATGTTGCCCAGGTCGATATCAAACTTCTGGGCTCAAGCAATTCCCCCATCTCAGCCTCCCAAAGTGTTGGGATTACTGCTGTGAGCCACCACGCCCAGCCCATTTTTAGAAACATTTCTAACAGCCTGTTTCTCAAGCACTGAACCAGGAAAAGGAGGTAATGAATATGACCACCAGAGTCCTCACAGATGGCCATGATGACATCATCTCTCATGTGACACACACGTCATCAGACTGTGACAATCCAGTGATGGGGACTGTGATAACAGAACCCTAGGGAGCTGTGGGACACCCAAGGAGGTTCCTCCTCCTTCCCATGCTTGGGAATCGTGGAAGGATCCTGGGAGGAGGGGATGTTTGACCTGACACCTAAAGGAGAGATGTAGGTCACACGGCCAACCAACAGCAGAATCTTGTCTCAAAAGGAAGTAACAGGAGAGAGGTGTGATGTAATGAAAAGAATAAGGCAAGGGTTCTTCACCCGGGGTCCAGTGAGATTCAGAACATTGAGATAAAAGGCAAAATTTTGCAAGTGTTATATATTATTTTTGCCTGCCTGGCATAACCCCTTACTTCTTTTCTGAGGATAGTATCCATCTTCCTTTGGAGAACAGCCCTTCCTCGATTCTACATGGTTCAAGGGCCTTTAAGTCAAAGAACCACTATTGGGTAGGCAAGTGACAAAGACCTGGCCAATCATGGTACTCTACTCCCCCTCTAACCAATGATTGGTCTGAGAAGTGGACACATGATCGAAGAAGGGCCAATCAGGGCCCTTTTGTGGAATTTACACTCGGTTGCTAGGACAGAAAAGCTCTCATTTTATCCATTATAATCAGGCAAGTTTGATATAAGCCTGGAGCTGTTTGTAGTAGCTCTGAAACATGACAGAGTCTTTCCTAAAATCTATCCTAGAGAAATAACTAGATACAGGCACAAGGATATCACTGTGCATCACAGGGAGCGGGTGAAAGAAGAAGAGGGAGAGGAAGAGAAGCTTGGCAACATCATTTAGGTCTTGAAGCTTAGTTTCCTTCAACCCCCCACTTCTCAGCTACACAAGAAAATGCCTTTTTGCTTACAGTTAGAGTCTTTTGTTTTTGTTTTGAGATGGAGTCTTGCACTGCCACCTAGGCTGGAGTGCAGTGGTGTGATCTTGGCTCACTGCAACCTCCACCTCCCGGGTTCAAGCAGTTCTTGTGCCTCAGCCTCCCAGGTAGCTGGGATTACAGGCGTGTGCCACCATGCCCAGCTAATTTTTTGTATTTAGTAGAGACAGGGTTTCACCATCTTGGCCAGGCTGGTCTCAAACTCCTGACCTCAAGTGATTCACCCACCTCAGCCTCCCAAAGTGCTGGGATTACAGGCGTGAGCCACCGTGCCCAGCTCCCTGGGCAAATTACCCTGAACTAACTTCAGGCAGTTTTCATCATGTATAAAACAGAGATAATATCCTCTCAAAACTTTACATTTAACCATCAATCTTGGTAGAGAGAAGCTAAGTAGTTAAATAGTAACTAGAAACAGAAAACAGAAAACTAACAAGCAGAAAACAGCAAGAGGAAGTGGAGCAAAATCTGGAAACAAAATTAGACTCAAAAGGCCACAGTTCCCTATCATAATGGTGCTAACAATGCTCCCACCTCCTCTTGTGTTTTCCTGTTCTAGGAGGGAAGCAAGTTGAGGGCTTGGAGTGTTACTGTGACTCTGGATCAGTGATTCTTCGAAAATGAGAGCGTTCCGGCCGGACGCGGTGGCTCACAACTGTAATCCCAGCACTTTGGGAGGCAGAGGCGGGCGGAATATGAGGGCAGGAGATCAGGACCATCCTGGCTAACATGGTGAAACCCTGTCTCTACTAAAAATACAAAAATTAGCCAGGCGTGGTGGCAGGCACCTGTAGTCCCAGCTACTCAGGAGGCTGAGGCAGGAGAATGGCATGAACCCGGGAGGCGGAGCTTGCAGTGAGCCGAGATCATGCCACTGCATTCCAGCCTGGGCGACAGAGCGAGACTCCGACTCAAAAAACAAAAAAATGAAAAGAATATGAGAGTGTTCCTCTGAGGCTACAAACTGCCTATGCATGCTGAGCCCCGCTGACAGCATCCCGTGCCTCTCAAGGTGTCTATCTTTTTCAGCTTCTAGGTTGTCTGCATCTTCTAGTTTATGTGTAACTGTGTCTCTGACCATCTTTTGGTCTCTTGGCCTATTTGCCCTGGGCTCATGGCCTTTAGTGGGTTTGTTTCCCCTCTGTCCCCTCCATCTCTCTCCATTCCTTCTTCAGGCCTCTGTCTCTTTTTCAGTCTGTCTTGTTCATCACCCTCATCTCTCTTCCCTGTCCTATTCTGGTCTCATCTCTCTTCACTTATCTGAGTCATTTCGTAGTCTGATTTTCTCTGTAATCCAGCTCTTCCTTTCTCCATCTCTCTTCAGTTCTCCATTTGACGTTCTCCATCTTTCTCATTTAAAAAAAGCTTTTTCAGGCCGGGCACGGTGGCTCACGCCTGTAATCCCAGCACTTTGGAAGGCCGAGGCAGGCAGATCACCTGAGGTCGGGAGTGCGAGATCAGCCTGACCAACATGGAAAAACCCCATCTTTACTAAAAATACAAGATTAGCCGGGCGTGGTGGCACATGCCTGCAATCCCAGCTATTTGGGAGGCTGAGGCAGGAGACTTGCTTGAACCTAGGAGGCGGGGGTTGCGGTGAGCTAAGATCACGCCATTGCACTCCAGCCTGGGCAACAAGAGTGAAACTCCAAACTCCAACTCAAAAAAATAAAAATGTTTCATTTTTGTTTTTTCGAAACAGGGTTTCACTCTCTCACCCAGCCTGGAGTGCAGTGGCGCAATCACAGCGTACTGCAGCCTTGACCTCCCAAGCTCCAGCGATCCTCTCACCACGACCTCCCAAAGTGCTGGAGTGACAGGCGTGAGTCACCGCGCCCTCTTTCTCATGTTGTTTTAATCTTTTTTTCCTCCCTTGTGTCCTTCCAGTGTTCACTCTCCATCACCTTCTCTCTCCATTTCCCCATCTAATACTTTATCTCCCAATATCAGAAGCTTTAATAATAGCTCATGCTTACTTACTTACTGCTTACTCCCGTTAACACACAGACCTATTCCTATCTGTATGATTTATTCCTATCCCACACCTATGTACATACACACACACTTTTCTCACGACTGTAAGGCACTATGATCACCCCCTATTTTACTGAGCAATAGAGAGGCTAAGTGAGTAGCCAAGTGTCAGATGAGGAACTCAAATCTAGGGGTTCGGGCTCCACTCCCTCACTTTTCCATTTCTCAGCATCATTCTCCATTACCTCCAGTTTTTGTGGGGTTCTCCCTACTTCACTGTCTCCACCCTTCCATATCTCTCGGTGTCCCACATGATTCAGTGTATCGTTTCTCCATCTAATTCCCATTTTTTCTGTTTCTAGCGTCCACGATCAGTTTCCGACTTTCCCCTCCACTCCCCAAGTTTAAGGGCGACCACGCCTCTCGGCCTCGTGGTCTGAGCCTCTGGCTGGAACCTATCGCAACTCTCGCCCACGCTCTCTAGTTTTCAGCTTCCCTCCTCTCCCAACACCCTCGTCTTTCAGTCCCTCAGTTTCTCGAGGCTTCTTTTCGTGCCTCCGTTTCTTTCCGTCTCTGGCCTGTAGCCCAGGTTCTCCCAGAGACGCTCAGGTGCCATCTCCGTCCGCGTCTGCCGGCCCTTCGGCTGCCTGCTACATTTCTCCTCATCTCGAGATTTCCCTCGCCCCTGGGCTCGCACCCCAAATTACCCCCGACCGGCCCAACTCCGGCAGCCATCGCTGCCACCACCCGGTGCACCCGCCCCGCCCTGCCCTGCCCTGCCCTGCCCTGCCCTGCCCTCCTCACTTACTACAAGCCGCGAACGCCTTAACTTCCGGTTCCAAGAGCCCTAGTCTTGCGCCTGCGCACACCGCCATCTCGGTCTGACCCCGCCCCGCCACCACAGAAGAGCCAGTCGGAAGCTCTGGGCTACCCAAGACCCATCCTGCGCCTGTGCACAGCACGCTTCCGCCCCGCCCCGCTTGGGGCGGAGCCTCGAGAGATTGCGCCCTCTAGAGGCCAGTAGAGGCGTTGCGGTACAGACTTGCAGGCACATCCTCCCCGACGCCTCCCTCTCCTCCCCAGGCATAGCCACGTGCACCCAAGCCCCGGGCCCAGGCACTTTTTTTTTTTTGAATCCAACGACAGCAAGACCGTAGGTGTTCTAATTTACACGCATAGGATTTGCATTGCAACCTCCATGCTAGGCTATGTAACACAGCTAGGAGTGCCACATACGAAAAGGTATAGTGATGTGGACACAAAATATAAGTCATCATAAAAGTACTTGCACATCTCGCGAGCATCTCTTGTGCTCTTGACAATACTTCTGCCCACCCATGGTGCATCAATCCACCACAAGACTGCCCTAACAGGCCCCTAACTGAAGGATGATCAACTCCCATGAAAGAAAGATCATCCCTAGTAGTCAAAGCTGTCCCCGTCAGCTGAGAGAGTCCCTGTCAAAGATAGTGTGAACCCTGACTCTGATCTCAAAACTGCCTTCAGCAAGCCTATTCAAATCGCCCAAACCCATGCACAAGGGAATGCGACAGACGTAGAGACAGTTAAAGTATATCACCGGTCGCCTTCTTTTTTTCATACATTCAGTTGTTATTTAATATCCTTAGTTTTCCTCCTTTGGTTTGTCTACCGGTCTTCTGTGTTTCATATTTCTTCCATTAGTCTCCAACTGCTCCTGCAAGCAAACTGGTCATACCTTCTCACGTCTCTCTTACATGTCTATACTAGCCCATCCTAATTACACTGTTGAGATTCGATTCACCAATATCAGAAGCTTTACATACATAGCTCATGCTTACTTACTTACTGGGCTTACTCCCGTTAACACACAGACCGTATTCCTATCTGTATGATTTATTCCTATCCACACCTATGTACCATACACACACACCTTTTCTCACGACTGTAAGGCACTATGATCAGCCCCTATTTAACTGAGCAATAGAGAGGCTAATGAGTAGCCAAGTGTCAGATGAGGAAGCTCAAATCTAGGGGTTCGGCTCCAGTCTCCCCTCACTTTTCCATTTCTGCAGCATCATTCTCCCATTACCTCCCAGTTTTTGGGGGTTCTCCCTAGGCTTCACCTGTCATCCACCGCTTCCACATATCTCTCGTGTCCCACATGATTTCAGTGTATCGCTTTCTCCATCTAAATCCATGTTTTTCTGTTTCTAGGCGTCCACGATCAGGTTCCGACTTTCCCCCTCCACTCCCACAAGTTTAAGGGCGACCACGCCTCTCGTCCTCGTGGTCTGAGCCGTCTGGCTGGAACTTATCGCAACTCTCGCCCACGCTCTCTAGTTTTCAGCTTGCCCTCCTCTCCAACACGCCTCGTTCTTTCAGTCCCTCAGTTTGCTCAGCTTCTTTCGTGCTCTCGCGTTTCTTTCCGTCTCTGCCTGTAGCCCAGGGTTCTCCCAGAGACCGCTCAGTAGCCATCTCCGTCCGCGGTCTGCCGGCCTTCGCTGCCCTGCTACATTTCTCCTCATCTCGAGATGTTCCCTCGCCCCTGGGCGTCGCACCCCAAATTACCCCCGACCTGGTGGCCCAACTCCGGCAGGCCATCGCTGCCAGCCACCCGCCCGCCGCCCTGCCCTGGCCCGGCCGTGCCCTGCCTCTCAGCTTACTACAAGCCGCGAACGCCTTAACTTCCGGTTCCAAGACGCCCTCCAGTCTTGCCGCCTGCGCACACCGCCATTCTCGGTCTGACCCCGCCCCGCACCACAGAGGAGCCAGTCGGAAGCTCATGGGCTGCCAAGACCCATCCTGCGCCTGTTGCACAGCACGGCTTCTTCGCCGCCGCCTCGC